GAGGGAGCTTTGATGCGGGACAGGAGCTAAGCTGCACTGAGCCATCCAGCCTGCGGACTTAATGGGACAAGGTGCTACAGTGAGCCTCTCTCTCTTCTTCACGGCCTGGGAGTTAAGGAGTCACAGGGTGCCGTGTGCCGCCAAAACCACCGGAGCCCTCGCTTAGGTGCTCAGGGAGTGTCACAGAGTGTCACTGAAATATCCAGGAGGTTACAGAAATTGCTGAGAAATTAAAGTTGCGTGTGGTTGCCATTAAGATTTATTTCAAGGTATTTGTTAGATTACAAGGTGACCCAGCATCATTCAAATGTTTCTTTCCTCAAAATGCTTATAGTTTGAGTATGATTAATGATCTTTGTAAGATACCTGATTCTACAACTTCCTCTATAAGCAAAATAAGCTCTGAAAAGTTATGTTGTACTAATGGGTATAAAACGAGAGCAAGAAACTGTATTTTATGAGACACCACAGATTATCTCTCTATTGATGCAGCAACACAGGTGGATGCAGCGCATGGCTAATCCTCCTAATCCGCTTGTCTCTTCTTCATCAGTTTGACAGAGAACCAGGATTGTTCCCAGAGGAGAAAAAATGAAGATAAACTGCCTTCAGGTCCCATTTGCAGCTTCAGAAATAACAGTATTTTCCTGGCAACATTGTTTTTGTGTGGAGGAATTACAAATAAGATGAAAGCCTCAAAGAAGGAAAGCATACATTTCTCAGGAGTTGTCAGTAACTCTGAGATACTTAAGTGGCAGGCTATGTTTCAAAACGCAAAAGGTAATTTTGTATTAAAAAACAGACACAGCATCCAATCGCTTCTTCTGAACTTACAGAGGAAGGTCTTGGCTTACAGTTTCGGAATTGTGTTACAGGATCCATCACACTTCTTTTTTTGTAAAAATAAAAAATGAAATATTTTCCTGGTATTTTCATAGAAAAGAATGAGTTCCTGATTTCTAGGGCTGATAAGAAGATCTACCAGATCACTGTGAGACTTAGAAAGCATAAGCTTTACAAATTCCTTCTTGAGACAAGCAGATTAGCCAGAAGAAATGGAGCCAGAGTGCCCTTGGCTGAGGCTGCAGCAATACAGAATAAGGCCCTGCAGGGTGGCTGTGCAGAGTAGGTGAAATATGGCTTAGAAAATAAAGCATTGTTTCCCTTGTATTAATCTTCATCTTCTCATGTCCTGTGTATATAGATGGCAAACTTACAACTGCAAATGTCGGCGGTATAGTTGGCGTATTTTAGTTAAAGAAACTGAAAACAAAAAAGGGTACTGAAAGGAGAGCCCTTACAATGTGCTCTTTGGCTGCAAATATTTCATCCCGACGTACCAGATTTTTAATGATAGCTAGCCCACCAAATCATAATGTCACTAACAGGTAACTACTTCAAATGGGAGCCTCATTTTACACAGCATTTTAAAATGTATCTTTCACCTTGTGAGCCCTGTTCATAAGCTCTACAGCACAAGCAATGAAATTATGTCTTAAGCATATTCAGGCCCACAATACATTCACAAATATAATGTCATGACAATTTGTATAGTCTTAAGCATATTCAGGCCCACAATACATTCACAAATATAATGTCATGACAATTTGTATAGTCTCCTGTAACCATACTTAAAAAAAATCATAGATCTAGATCCAAATTGCAACATTCATGCAGAATAAGGGAATCCAAATATTCAACATACTTGTTTGCAGTTGAGAAAATGGTCTTTGTTTGCAGGGAGCAATTTAGACTTTGTTCCTGGCTCATGAATAGGAAGAAAAGCATATTTCAATTACTGATCACCTAGAGAGTTTTTCAAAATATAAATCAATAAACCTTGCTTTCCAAAGAGCCAAACTTCAGATAGCTTTCTCCTTCTGTCAGCTAAAATTTTCCCAATAATATCTACAGGGTACATTAAAGAATTTGCTGAACGTGTGTGTACTTTGAAAACACTGGGATTTAAAAAAATAGTTTTTTAATTGAGTGTGCACTCCTATAGGCATTTGTAGCTGGAAAGGAGCTTGTAAGTAAGTATGGGGTTAGTTAAGTGCAATAGAAATATGGTGACAAATATGGGCAATAGATGACCGTTCAAGGTTCTCTTTAATTCCTTACGGTGGAGTTTTATGAACTACGCTTTGTAGATTTCCTATTCTAGTCTGCAATTTATTTATTTATTTTTAAATTAAGCAAATTATGGATGTTTTATGTTAGGATTTTCTGAAAATTTGCGTGATGATTGATTTTTATCAGTTCAGTACCAGCTCATACTTTTGCATCACTAATCTTTGAACTTCTGCTATTGAGGAGTTTTTTTTCCTTTAGGACCTTTAGGTTGTAATTTCATTTAGAGTCAGTTGAAGGAGATGGATGTGACTTCTCTCCAAATATAAGGAGAGATTTTGCCCAAGAGCCATCCCATAATTGTCCAAGAATACACGAAGTATTCCTCCTGTCTATATTTCTTTTCCCATGATTTACAGCAGAGTTATGTTTCACACTAACAAACAGGCTCCCTCATTGAAAAGTCAGTCTCTGAAAGCAATACAGTCCATGCGAAGTTGTTTCGTGGTCACTTAACGTAATACCTATTTAATTTTAAAGTTTAATGATTTTTCAAAAATTACTCAGAAAACAAAGATTTCTTGCATGGATTCCTCACGATACTCTTAAGTCAGCAATTTTCTAAGTAATTTTCTCTAAGGTCACTGAAGCTAAAGAGAACTGTGTGGACCAGTTTGCAGGTCCAGATTCAGCTGCTGACTTCAGGGACCTAACCTGGGACACAACACCTTAACCCAATTATCTTGGCCTCAGCAGGGTGCTTCAAAGCCACGTGGGTGCCTATAGGGTCAGAGAAGGGAGTCAGATGCCTATGGACTTCACCAGTGTTCACCACGCAGCTGCCTACAGCAGATGCTCACTGCAGAGCCCGTGTCTGTAAACTCCGACTCTTCTGTTGTAGAAACATTTTACAAAATGTATAGAGGCAATTAATTACCATATAAGTAATTTCTGTACAGGATTTTTTCCTGTCTGCTTCACCTGATTGTGGGGCTTCATCATCTTTTCTTTCTGAGGAGGCACAGGATTTTTTGCCGCCACTACAGTTTTGCAAACGCTCTTTCTAAGCCACAGCCTTTGATAAATGATCCGGTATCAGCCTCTAGCCATGGATTAAAACCGAGGTACACACTTTCCGTGGAACTGTGTTTAGAAAAAAGTGTGCTGTGACTAACGAGGAGCACCGTAAGTGGCACAGCACTGCACACACTTTATCAGCACTCATTGCAGTTCACTCCTCTTCAGGACAGAGGCTCCCCGTGCAGCTCGCCAGCCAGAGCATATCATCCCACAGCGCCCTTCTTCATGTCAGGTTTGTGTGAACTGCAGTGCTATTTTGGCCCTGAAAGGGAAGTAAATTAAATACTTTGTGGTTTTTTTTTCTTTCTGCATGAACAGTAGTGCGTTTTTCCCATGCCTTGAGATTTTGCTCAGAAATTGAGAATCCAGAGAATGAAATGAAGTCAAACATCCCTGACTTTTACTGAGAGCTCAGATAAAAGCAGCATGTCATCATGAAATGAGAGAGAGGGTTGTGGCTAAAAATCAGCAATTAAAAGACATTTATGAAGAGTTAAATTGCATGCTGACCACATACAAGAAGCAAACTTTCTGTCAAAGAATAAACATGATTCAAAACTATTTTTTACTGAAAATTTTCAATTAGATGGCACTCAAAGTCTTCAGAATAGTTTGGTTTCAATCCTTTTTCTTCCGACCAAAGGCTTTATCCAAGCTGTTGGCGATCTTAAGGCAAGATTCGAAGAGTAGTACCATTTTTCTAGGAATGAGACTGATGAGACAAACACAGAGTTAGCCTTATGTTTTAGCCTTATGTTTTTTCAGAAAAATGTACTCTAGAAATTAAAAAATGATAGATTTGTTATATGTGCTCAATACTTCCGACGTCTGGCGAGAACACATTTAGCACTCCCATGTTAAATACGGGGGAAATGAACGACACACCAAGCCATTTTGTGAAAGCCCAGCCAGCGGTGGAGGCAGTTACTGGCAGCAGACAGTTCTAGTCCAGGCATTACTCCCAGCGTACCATCCCAGGAAAATCTTTGAAATTTCTACACCCAACTATAGCTTAAGGCATATATTAGAGACAGAAGCGGCCAGACAAATGCTATTCACCTAGATTATTAAAAATGAAAGCCACTGTTTCTTCATAATTGGGTACATATAACTGGATTGACTGCAGGAATCCTAACTAAAGGACTCT